CGTCCGCGTCACGTCTGCGACCTCGTCGTCTGTTCAGCCTGTGGCATTGAAGCCGTGCCCGCATCCATCGAGCGCTCGCTGGAGCGGCATCGGGAAGGGGGGGGACGAGAGGGGGGGAGGTGGGCAGCCCAGCGGGTCCTATAAGCGCGCCGCGCATTGAATCTATATATATATAGATTCTCGAACACAGGCTTGGTACCACACTGCAGTCGAGCGTCTGGCTAAGAAGCATCCTCCTCAAAAGCTGGGCCAGCGTGTGTTGTCCAGCTTGCGTGACAGCTGGACCAGGTTCTTCAGCACGTTCGTCCCTCCAGCGTGAGCGCATACATTGGCACAGGCTTGTTTTCAGAAACTTTGGGCATCTGGCCCAGGCCTCCTGACTGATCATTTTCTTGAACATAGTTTCGGATGTATGTGGGGAGCCGTTGTCCATGCGACCACGGATCACCGTTTTGGTGTGCTCTTCCACATTGCTTGCTGTGGCCTGGCCCCCTCGCTTTCTCCCTCAGCCCTCTCTTCGCCTTCTGCTTCCCTCCTCATAGCTCATCCTTATTGCTCCTCACCTCCTCCCAATTCCTTCCATCCTGTTCCTCATCCTTCTCGTCCCCTATCGTGATGAATCCGCATTCTCTTTGTGCCGACATGCTCCTCACCATCCCGCTCTGCAATGCCTTGCCCTCGCCGACACTTGCGCAGGACCAGCGTGCACGAGAGGAGGTGGCACGAGAGCGATGGCCGCACCTTGGGGAAAAGACGGTGGGATGGCGTGCGCGTGTGTGTGTGTGTGTGTGTGTGTGAATGTGTGTGTGAATGTGTGTGTGTGAATGTGTGTGTGAATGTGTGTGTGAATGTGTGTGTGAATGTGTGTGACTGTGTGTGAATGTGTGTGAATGTGTGTGTGTACGACAGAGCACCGGCGCTCGGCGCCGGCTACAACTGCGGGGAGTCGCCTCGCGCTGCTGTCCGAAGAGGCAGGCCTTCGTGCCCGCCTCGTCTCCGCCTGTCCCTTCTTCGGGGGGGGGAAGGTGGGAGCAGGCGCACCGGTGATGGGGAGAGTGCGCAACTCTGAGGCAGGGCCGACGAGTCAAACCGAGGCCCCTGGCGCGTAAGCCTGGGCCCCTTTCGGGCGGGTCTAGGACGAGGGCAGATCCGTTCCAGAGCGTTCCGGAACGCTCAGAGCGTTCCCGAACGCTCGGAGAGGGCCGCGGCGCCCGAGGCATCCTCCGGAGCCGCCGGATCTCGGAGATGCTCAATTTATCCCCACCCGATTTCATCCTCGTCTTGGCTTCGTCTTACCCTTGGGAAGGAGGCGCAGGAGGAGGTGGCGGAAGTTGAGGTCGTTTATCTGGACGGAGGGTAGAAGACAAGCACAGTGATAGTGATGAGCATCGAACGTCCGAGTCACGGCCGCCCCCTGCCTTTCGGAAACGCCTGTATCGTGAAATGTCGAGCGAGAGTGCGGCCACGCTCATGGACTGCCTGTTCCCCCAGCTATTGCGAAAATCACTGGTTGAACACTGGGGGTGGTCCCCTGGGTCCGTCTAGGGGTTGCTTGAGGCTCTTGCCAGGCCTGTTAGGTCTTCTTGGGCGGCTCTTGGGGCCCTCTTCGGCCATCTCGGGTATCTCTGAGGCCGTTTTGGTGCTCCCTTGGGGGTTCTGGCGCCTTCGGAGGCCGTCTTGGGGACCTCTCTGGACCGTCTTGGGACCCTCTTGGAGCTATAGAGGGCCATCTCAGGGCTCTTGGGCCGTCTTGGGGCCCTTTGTGGGCCGTTTTGAGGCCAAATTGGGGTCCTCTTGGTCCTCCGACGGCGGACAGTGACTCCGCAGGTTGCATCAGACTACATGACGCAGAAGAAAGACTACCGAAATCCTCAAGCATCCTGACACGTATAGCCTCAGACGAGGTAGCGCAGCCTTACCTGTGGGTGACTCCTGCCAGACAGTACGCACTCCTTGAATGGGACGCCGGAGCCCCCCCCCGCAGAGCCTCCGGTATCTCCAGCTTACTCCGCCGACTCAATCCGCCGCATAATCCGTCATGCCTTCGCTGCTTTACTCATCCAATAACGACCCCCGTCTAAAAAGCAATCAACACGGCGTCGACGAACAGCAGCCCCCCCCAACCACAAGACCGGTTAGCTGGGATATGCCGACTCATACAAGACGCCGGCATAAGCCCTCCTACACGATGAGACGCCCGCTTGGTGGTGCGACAGGTAAAGGCGCATTCCACCGAGCAGAAAAGCACGAAAAACGTACAACGCAGTCAAGCACTACTCACTCGTTCATACTAAAGACTCGGACCTCCCCGAGTCCTTGACCTAGCTCCTAAGAATCACTTGCATAAATTAAGCGACTCCTAGTACACCCCATACAATAATCATCCACCATTCTCCACGTCCGACCAATACGTACCCTCAGGCAAAACCCCACTCCCTGCTACTATGATACTAATGAAGGCCGATTGCCTGACCGCAGACTGCCCAAATTACTTAGCAGCATACCCCTCATTAAAAGCCTTTCTCATACTCCTCACCTCCCCCCCTACTCCTCCTCCTCGTCCTCCTCCTCCTCCGAACCTCCTGCTCCGCTACTCCTCATCTTTCTCCTCCACCTCCTCTCCTCCTCATCCTCCTCCTCATCCTACTCACTCATCCTCCTCCTTTCTCCTCCTCCTCCTCCCTCCCCTTCCTCCTACTAACCTCCCCTCCCACTCCTTCCTCTCCTATCATCCTCTCCTCCTCCCTCCTCTTCCTTCCTCCCCCTCCCTCCGCCTCCTCCTACTACTCCTCCTCCTCCTCCTCCTCCTCCTCCTCCTCTTCCTACCTCCTCCGCTGCTCGCGCGTAGCAGGGCGCCTTCCGGGGCCCTGCTAGTCTCGAGCCCGTCCTCGAGCTCATGGGAGCCGCTGCCGACTGCACCATGGCCTTCGCCCTCGCGGGGCCGCAAACGAGGAGAAATGACTCCCTCGGGGTCCCCTCGCAGATCGGGAAGGGCCGGGCGCCGTCGAAAACCATAATCATGTGTGACATCGATCAAGAGACTGCATACTTGTAAACCTTCGGAGGTCCGCGCGGATTGCTGGACCCCCCTGGAAGCGCTTCTGGCGCCGCCTCTGGCGCGCTCCGCGCGCAAGGGAGGGGTGTCCATGGCCGGTTCAATAAATCCGCGGTATATTATGTTTATGTGGTCCGCCTCTTCTTCTTCTTCTTCTTCTTCTTCGTCCTCTTCTTCTTCTTCTTCTTCTTCTTCTTCTTCTTTCTTTTTCTTCTTCTTCGGCTCTGGAGTCTCGAGGCCGAGACCTCCTGTGGGGTCTCTCGCCTTGCCGTGATGCGCCCACCCAGAGGTCTGCCGCTGCCGCCGCCTCCGGCTCGTCGCTGGCCGCGCTTCAGAGGGCCTATGGCGACTGGGGCTGCGTGGAGTTGGCCCGGGAGGAGAGAGCGGGGCGCCATAATGAAGGCAGGGATGGATGATGATGCCGATGATGGTGATGGTGATGATGATGCTGATGATGACGACGGTGATGATGCTGATGATGATGCTGATGATGATTCTGATGATACGGGTGATGATGAATCTAATGATGTTGCTGCTGCTGCTGCTGCTGATTCGTTTCTCGATGTGGATGATGATGATGATGAGGAGAAGGATGAAGAGGAGGAGGAGGAGGAGGAGGAGGAGGGAGGAGGAGAGGAGGCACATGATGATGATGATGATGATGATGGTGGTGGTGGTGGTGGTGGTGATGATGATTTTGGTGGTGGAAATGGTGATGATGATTGTGGTTGTGGTGGTGATATGGTGATGGTATTGGCCATTGTGAAGGTGCGGGTGGTGGTGGTGGTCATTATGATCATGAGGATGAGGATGATGGTGGTGGTGGTGGTGGTGATGGCGATGATGATGCTGCTGATGATGATACTGATTCTGCTGCTGCTGATGATGATGAGGATGATGAGGATGATGAGGGTAGTGGTGGTGATGATGATGGTGGTGGTGATTGTGATGGTGATGGAAATTGTGATGATGATGGTGAGGAGCAGGATGGGGGACGTGAGGATGCTGCTGATGATGAGAAGTTCACGATGTGGATGACAATGATGATGGTGATGATGCTGATGATGACGACGACGCCGACGACGACGATACATGCGATGACTATGAAGGCAATGATGATGATTCTGGTGGTGATACTGACGGTGTTGATGCTGCTGATGCTGATGCTGCTGATGCTGTTGCAGATGACGATGCTGATGACGACGATGAAGACGCTGCTGTTGATGAGGACTGTGCTGGTGACGGCGATGGCAATGATGATGCTGATGATGGTGAGGATGTTTATTATGATGGCGATGATGGTGATGATGATGATGATGATGCTGATGATGATGATGCTGATGATGATGATGTTGTTGTTGATGGTTCTGATCATGAATATGATAATGGTGATGCTGCTGATAATGCTGCTGCTGCTGCTGCTGCTGCTGCTGCTGATGATGATGATGATGATGATGATGATGATGATGATGATGATTATGCTTATGCTAATGATGCTGATTATGACAGTGGTGGTGATGATGATGATGATGACGATGAGGAGGAGGAGGAGGAGGGAGGAGGAGGATCCTCTGCTCGATAACCGCCAGAACCCGAGTGCCTCTCTCGGCGCCTCGCGCGCAGCGTCAGGCCTCCTGAAGCATGCCAGAAAATCCATTCTCGGGACGTCAGCGCCACGGATCAACCTTACTGTTGCGTCTTGACGATCCGAAGGCGACCGGCCTTTTCAGCGGCCGTGGAGAGGGCGACGTGCGTGCGATCCGCCCCGCGGGTGTCCGCCGCGCTGGCGACGCACTCACCAAATTGCCCCCTTGCGAGGGCGACGTGCACGTTCGAGGACGGCTGGCCTTTCCGGCGGCCGACGCACGGGCGGCGCACGGGCGACGAATGCGCGACGCACCTCCTGTCGCGAAGGGGGGGGGGGTCAGCACGCCGGTCGCTTTACTGGGCCTTAACAATCCTGAATCCTGCCAGAACGCCGTTCCTGGGACTGCAACACCGCGAATTAACGTAACTGGTGCACCCTCACAATCGTGAAGCCTTCCAGAACAGTGTTGCGGCGTTCTTGGCGTGGACGGACTCCAGGAGGATGCCCCCCTGATCAGCCTGTCCATGTCCACCGATACTCGTGCTGGACGTGCCCATGTGGATGGGTGCCCAAGCTCGACGGCCAGACCTCGAAGGATATCGGCACCCAAGCCCGACTCCACTGGCGTCGCTGTCAAGGGTGTGAGCTTCCTCCCGGACCAGCTGACACTAAGGCCATCCGCTACAACGTTACCGTGGTGGCGGCCATGGCTAAGGCTAAACGTGAGAAAGCTTTGGGTCGATATCAGGCTTGGCACCGGGACCAGCCATCTGACATCCAAGAAGTGATCTGCGAAGTTCGAGAGGAATTGGTTCATGTCGCGCAGCGCTCCTCCATGAGGCAGACTTTCTACGAGCTGCATCAAGTGCGGGAAGAACATCTGTCTCTCGGAGATCAAGTCCTTTCCCTGTGAAGGGCGGCCCGAAAGTGTCTTCATGCAGGCTGCGATGGCACGCCCCGTCGGCGAAGAAGCGGCGGCCAAGTTCATCGAGTCCTCCAACTTGAATGCAAAGAAGAGCTGGCTCGCCGAAACTAAGCTCAAAATCGACTACCAGGACTACTTCTAGCGCTACGGACGGAAACAGTGCCAGAGGAGAGCGAGCCTCGGAGTCTTCAGCACAAGTGGGGCCAGAAAGAAGCGTCGCCTTTGGTTCCAGCAGTTGCCGACGGCCGGAAGAACCTCGTCAACCACCGCAGGAGGCAGCGTTGCCTCGTTGGGATGCCTGCTGCTGCTGCCGCCTCGTCCTCGTGGCGGGACCCGATCCCGGGGGGCGCCCGTATCTCCCAGGAGCCTCATCACAAGCGAACGTGGGCCACTCCAGTTTCCTCCTCTAACGCCCTGCCGCCCCCGTCGATTGCTCCGCCGTCTTCGGTTGCCACCTGCTCTACCTCAACTGCGACGGTTCCGCCGCAGCGTTTCCAGACGTCGCCCCTCGGCGCCATCGTTGGCTTCATCGTTGGTCATCGAGCGCCGTTTGCCCGGGGGGGGCGGGGCCTCACTCGCCGTCCTCCTCGGTTGCGCTGTCTACCTTCATCGCCATAACTACAATGGAGGCACCGCCGCGGCATTCTCAGACGTCGCCCCCTCGGCGCCATTATTGGCTTTATTAGTCGTCGGCCATCGAGTGCCGTTTACCCTGGGGGGGCGGTGCCTCCGCCACTGTCTCCTTTGGTTGCGTCGTCCCCTTCGATTGTTACGACGACCTCAGGTGCCGCCAGTGACAGCTGCTGTCGTCGATCGCCGCGCTTTCGCCGGTTGCCACAAGCTCTTCGGTGGCGCCGGTGCCGCCGATAGCCGCGCCGACTTCGGTTGCCACGGTTTCCTCAGTGACGCGGACGCCGTCGATTGCCTTGCCATCCTCGGTTGCCACGCGCTCTCCAGCGTCGCCGCTACCGTCGACGGTCGCGCCGACATCGGGGGCCGCATCATCTTCTGTAACGCGCGCACCGTCGATTGCCTCGACATCGTCGGTTGCCAGATGCCCTCCAGTGACGCTGCTGCCGTCGATTGCCACGCCGACCTCGGTTGTCACGTCCTCCCCAATAGCGCGGACACCGTTGATTGCTACGTCATCGTCGGTTGCTACCTGTTCTCCTGTGAGGCCGCCACCGTCGTCAGGTACGCCGACCTCGGTTGCCGCCTTTTCCTCAGTAAGGCGGACACCGTCGATTGCCCCACCCTCGTCGGTTGCCATGTGCTCTTCAGTGACGCCGCCACCGTTGATTGCCTCGTCTTCTTCGGTTGCCGCGTGCTCTACCTCGGCGGCGATGGCGGCCCCGCCGAGGCGTTTTCAGACGTCGCCCCCTCGGCGCCATCATTGGCTTACGTCATTATCGCCCATCGAGTGCCGTTCACCTCGGGGGGGCGGAGCTGCCGTTGCAATCTATTTCGATTGCGCCGTCCGCCTCGACTGCCAGAACCACCTCTACGTCATGTGCCGGGGCCTGCTCAGCGGAGACGCTCGTGCCTCGAGAGCCATCGCGTAAGAAGACAAGGTTGCCCCCGCCCTCGGCCTCGCCATCGCCGGCGGCGGCTGCCCCATCCTCTTCCTTAGACGCTAAGCCGCTTCCGCCGTTTGTCTCGTCTTCGTCGGCTGCCCCGTGTTCTTCCCCGACTGCGACGCCGCCGCCGCCGCCGATTGCCTCGTCTTCGCCGTTGGCCGCGGGTTCTACCTCAACTGCGATGGAGGTTCCGCCGCGACATTCCCAGTCGTCGCCCCCTCGGCGCCATCATTGGCTTGATGATCGTCGGCCATCGAGTGCCGCTTGCCCTGGGGGGGCGGAGCCTCAGTCGCCATCTACTACGGTTGCTCCGACCTCCTCGATTGCTACGACGATGGTCACGCCGAGCCTTGTGAGGGTCGGGAGAGGGCACGACCTGCATCGAGGGCTGCTCCTTCGGCGCGCAGGCCCGCCCCCGACCCTCCCGACGCCGGCGTTGAACCGCGAGCCCCACGCAGTGCGGGCGGGGGGGTCACGGTCCCAGGCGAGATTCCTCCAGGGAGAACTCAAGATCTGCATGTGCAGGACCGCTCTCTTCTCCGATTCTGTCTGCGCCCGCGCCCTCCCCCAGGGAGTCGAAGCCTCGTCGCACCGCTGCGCGTCCTGCCGCTTCGTCCTGCTCTGACCCCCTCCTCCTCCTCCTCCTCCTCCTCCTCCTCCTCCTCCTCCTCCTCCTCCCTCGACGCCTGCGCCTGGCTCGGTCGTGGAGGGGTCCAAACGTCCTGCTGCGCCCCGTACAGCCTCGGGGGCCTCGGCCGAAGTGCAACTCACCGCCCACCAAAGCACCCCAACCCAACCCGAAGCCATCAATTTGCCGTCCATTTCCAGTGGGGGGGGGTCGGGGCACGTGGAAAAAACACATGGTATCCGTACCCCCCCCAACCCGAAATTCGGGTCAAATTCGGGTCAAATTCGGGTTGGGTTGGGGTGGTCTGGTAGGTAGTCAGCAACGGTGCGAGCCTGAGCCCGGCGCGTCCCTGCCAGCAGGGCTACCAGATGGCGGCTCGATCTCCGACCTGATACCTGAAAGTCAATCAGGAGGGGAAAAAACACACAGACACAATTAATCGGCGATTCCCAGAAAATATGGGAAAATATGGGAAGTGGGGGGGAAGACAAAAGCCCAGAAAATATGGGAAAATATGGGGGATATTTTTATTTGTGTGTATTTATTTGTGTGTCCCAGTTCCCCTTCAGTCAACCTGTCCCAGCTTCCGGCGCAGACCTCGGGCCCGAGCTGGAGCCTGAGCTGCTGGAGATCTGCGCCATCGGCGTTGCTGCCCTCACGAAGGCCCGTCTCACCACCCTCCTCGCGTCACCTGACATCGCAGGAGCAGGGGCACGGTAGGTTCGCGTCGTGTCGACCGGCGGCGACCCCGCCGCCGACGTTCAACGTTGAACGCCGACGGCGGCCCAGAATCGGTCGGTGTTGAACGATCGGACGTTGCGGAGACGGCCGATCGTTCAAGGTTGAACGATCCAGCGCGGTGTCAGGAACCAACGCCAGGGTCGACACGGCACGGACCTGCAGTAACCTGCCTCCAGGAGACCCGCCGCTACGACCTACGCCCACGCTGGATCATCCATCAGGCGACCAGGAGCGGATGCAGCGCGGCCTGCTTGGTGCCTCCGACCTCCCAGACCCGCGGGCGTGTATTTCTTTGTGTGTCCTTGGGCCCCTTTGAAGTTGTCCACTGCCCAGGCATCCGGCCGCTCCCACTTTTCCGATGCGTGGGCCCCGGAGGTCCAGACCACTTCCCCTGGGCCGGCGTTTCGTCCCGAATCGTCTCCTGACGCTCCCGAGGCCCAGCGGGGGCCCCTGGAGGTCGAAAGCTGGCAGAGTCGGTCGGAAGAAATTGGTAGAAACATGTTGTAGAACGGTGGATCAAATCAGATGGGGTTCAGGCCCTCTTAGAGAAGAACAAAACCCGGCAAAAGCAGCTCGGCTCTTGAAGCACGAATGCGCTAGAAGTCGACTGGGATCTGGGAAGCCCAAAAATGCATACTTTCAACGACCCGCGTGCAAGCCCGAGCCCACTCCGGTCCGCTCACTGTGGACTTCTTCAAGGTCTGAGCGCTTCCTCCCTCCTCAACTCGCGCGGCCGCCCTCGTCTTTCTCCCCCCTCTCGCAGCGCCGGCTAGTTCGCTTGGCAGTTGCCCCAGTTCGCCCCGCGCTGTTGCGGACTGCCTCCGCCTCGCCGCCGACGAACACAAAGTAAGCCCTGAGCCCCGAGCCCCCCTGGCGGACCGTCGAAAGTTTGAGTTTATAGGTTCTCCCCCCCCAAAGGTAGGAAGGCGTCAGACGTAGATTGGGCTCTGAGAATCCACCCCACACGTGCCTACTTGCAACGACCCGCGAGTAGGCCCGAGCCCGAGCCCGCCAGCCCGCGCCCGAGCCGCGGGGCGGCCCCCGCAGGAGTGCAAGCTGGCCGGTCTGCTGCTGCGCGCGGGGGACGCCGCCGCGGCGCGGGCGCGCTGGGCCGCGGCGGCCCAGACCCTGCGGCTGCTGGCGCCGCCGGAGGACCCCGACCTGCAGGAGGCGGCGCCCTCCGCCCTGGGAGGCCCGAGGACGGAGGCGGGTATGCAGTCCGCCCGCACGGTGAGGTTCGGCAGCAAATCATTGGACCCTAACAAAAAAATCATTGAAGCCTCGTGTACCCTCGCAATTCCGTCCTCAGCGTCGGCGAGCGCCGACTCGCGTCTGGGAGTCGATGAGATAGCTCCGATGCAGCGTCGATTTCGCGTCGATGAGCGTCGATTTCGCGTCGGTCAGCGTCGATTCGCAAGAGCCGACAAGATGGTACTGGAGGCTCCCATGAGTTGCCACCGAACCCGAGGATCGAGTCGGATATACAGTCAACCCGTATGGCAAGGATGGGCAACCTTCCCAGGGGTACCTTTGCATCCTTGCCTCCTCGGTCCATCCTTGACCACTCGGTGGCCGCGCCCCGCTCGAGAAGCTTCGAAGTTGGCTTCCTATACTGGTTGACTGTACAGTCGGACCGAGGTATAAGATCGATGTCGGTTCGGGAAGCGTGCCCTCGTTTTCTTCGTGCTTGTGGGATGTTCTGGTGCATCCTGGGGAGAGAGCCCTATACGATGTTCTGTGTGTTTTGGCCGGCGGAGGGTCTCGTGTTCTTGAAGGATGTTCTTCTGTCCTAGCACCCGCTGGGTTAAAAGTTGTGATCGGGACGATCCAAGGGGGCCGCGCCCTGGGCCATCCCTTGTCGATTGACCCTCGAGCGTCGACCTTCGACCGACCCCAAGATGATCATTGGTTCGAAACGTACCCTTACCCGGGGTCAACCAGTGTGAGATGGGCCGCCCGCGGGATTGGGCGCTTGCCACTGTGCCCGATCTTCCTGTCGCGCGCGCCAGCACTTTCAGACGCTGGCCTCTTTTGGCCATCTAATTTTTTAAAAGGGTGAGGGATGCATCTGGAACTACCGAATCGGCATCGGTCACTGGGTCCCGAACCCCCAACAAGTAACATATCCGAATCCCTATAAACCAGGTCTGCGTAAGGTTGGCGTTTCTCCTGGTGGCGGCAGTCCCAGTTTTGTGTGATGGGGTGGCCGGGAGTCCCCCGGTACTCACCAGGTACTCATCACTAAATTAGGCCCCGCTACGCCCAGTCCTGCCAACGCCCGATCGAAGCTGATCGGCTCCGAGTCAGGCCCGCATGAGAATCCCCTTCGCCCAGGGAACATTTAGAGGGCGCTTGTTTGAGAATTCGCACAGGCTTGGGGGGCCCACTTTTGTGGCATTCTAGCGCGGGTGTCTCCTGGGCCAAGAGGGTCGATGGGGCTACCTGCGGAGGAAAGGCGCCAGGGCTCAGAACGATTCACCTCTTCTCCGCTCGGCAAGGGCTGGTACTCCACCGATTTCGAATCCTTTGCGATGCCGCGCCAAGTGCATGTTTTTCAGCCCCGCAGATGCACAGAGAATGCGACCCCCAACGTTTGAGTAATGATGTGGCTCGCGCGGCGCACTGGCAGGAGACAGGTCTCGTTCACCTGCATGATTGCACGAATGCCTTTGCGAGTGCAAGCTGGCCAGACATGCGAGCTGCAGCTGTGGAGCTGATGGGAGGCCGTCTCGCGCGTTTCGGCTGCCGGCGGCCTCGGGGGGAGGGGGGAGGAGCAGGAAGTGCCCCCCCCCCGCGCGCCGAGGCATCCCGTCTCTTTCGTCCAGGCTGTGGGGGGTTCACGGGAGATCCCATGCGTCGCGCGGCAGTTTGTCCAGGCCTTTCAGACGGCCGCGCCGCGGTGGGGGGGGGGGGGGAGGGCGGCTGGAGGCGTGGGGGGGGGGGCAGGAGGTCCAGTGACCCAGCGTCCTTCTCTGGGCGGGGCTGCGGGCGCATCCGTGAGCCTGCGCGCCGAGGACGTCCGGAAGTCGTTTCAGCAGGGCCCCGCCAGGCAGTCAGCGAGCCCGCGTCGGTCAGCGATCGTGCGAGCTTTCTTCTCGACGGGCCCCTCGCCGAGAGAGCGTGCAAGAAAATGCGCGACTGAGCAAGGCGCTGCACCTGCGTTGTCGGGGGCGGGCGCGGGGCTCCCAGGCTCGAGCCTTGGGAGCGGGCAGCGATATCCTTCCTGCCTCACCCGCGCCCGCTGCCAGATTCAGGAGGGGAAGAAACACACAGACACAATTAATCGTCGACTCCCAGGAAAATATGCAAAAATATGGGAAGTGGTGGGGAAGACAAAAACCCAGAACATATAGGAAAATATGGGGATATTTTTATTTGTGTGTATTTATTTGTGTGTTCCAGTTCCCCTTCACAGATACCTTGGTGCGCGGATTCGTGCTAACTACACCTCTGCCCTTGATTTTTCCGGGGGGCGGACGTGGCGGCGGCGCGCGACTCACTCTGTAGTTGCTGGTATCTTAGAACACCCCGCGCCAGATTAGACGCGCATATCTGATATGCAGTGGCAGCGAATCCTTCGCTTCCTCGGATAGGCAGCGCAATGAACTCGATCATCTCGTCGCTCGATGTGCTCGACGCGCCATGCAAGGTGAAGCGAATGGGCTGGCGGAGTCGCCCGAAGGTACCGTCCAGCACCGTTCCGAGAGCATGTTGCAAGTGCTGGGGCATTGGCGCATGGCCCGCGCGAAGCTTGAAATGCCGGCGCGGCGCCTCAAGAAGATTCTGACCATCGTTGCCCGCCCGTGGAGTAATGGGAAGGTCCTCGCCTCCCTCTTCGGTAACTTCTCCTTTGACGGACCCTATGATCGACGAGTGCGACTTGCGGAACGATGCGAACCCCTGGGCTTTCCAAGTGAGAGATTATATGCTGCAGTGGGTGTGGTGGGGGCTCGATGGCGAGGGGGGGGTTCTGGGCAGCGAGATGCGCGCAGGGTGGTTGGACCTATTCACAGACGACAAGATGAAACGCGATTCCATCATGAAGAATTTCACCATACTGCGCCGATGTATCCATACGCGTGCTGCGCCGCCTCCCGGGTGGGCCCTCGTTCAACGGCCCCCCTGAAGCCGCCGGCCTTCCAGGAGCCACCGGTGTGGCCCAAGGGCCCTGTGGACATCGGGATGAGACCGGGGAGGCGCGCGGGCGCGTGTTCAGCACGTGCACTGGGGGTCACCCAACATCGCGCGGCATAGCGCGGACTGGAAGACACCCGGACGCGAGCGGCCACGACGCACGTTTGCCCCTTCTGCCTCATCGCTTTCGGTTGTGCAAAGACGGCGCAGAGACACATGTTCGCCACAGTCTCTCGTGGGGGCAGATGTGGATTGTGCGCGATATTACGGAGGACGCAGGCGCCCAGATCGGGTTGAGTGCCATTTTTGTGATCATAAGGCTCAAACGTTTGAGGAGCTGCAGCAGCATCTTCGAAGTCATCTCCCACCTCTCGACTTTCTTGCATCAGGTGCCAAACGCCGCCCGCGAGTATCTCGCCATGGCGCGCAACCTGGCGGCGCCGCCTTGGGGGCTGGCTCGCGCGGCAGACGGTGTACGGCAGCAGCAGACGCGTTGCCGCATGGCCGACCTGCCGGGCGCAAATGCGAAAGAAGCCAACGCGGCGACCGAGCTGCTCATCATTCTTCACCCGTTGTCGCTCACAAACGCCGCTGGTATTCGCGAGATCGCTGGCGCGCCGTGGGTGGCTCTTCTCGTCAGCGCGTCGCCACCGGTGGTCAGGGCAATGCTGCAGCAGGGCAAGGATTGCCTCGAGTCCGTCGAGGCCGCCAAGGGCGATCCGCAGAAGCAGGCCAGCCTCGGCCCGCTGTTCACGCACGCCTTCGCCAGTCTACTCCGAGGGCTGGGAGACTACGACGGCCTGCCAGTCTCACGACGCCAAGATGTTGCTGGGCTTCTAGTCGGAGAACGCGGACGGTCCCGACTGCAATATGGTAGATCTATATTCTAGGGTGGAGGGGGAGGAGGGGGGGGGATGAGGAGTAGGGATAGGAGGAGGAGGAGGAGGAGGAGGAGGAGGAGGAGGAGGAGGAGGAGGAGGAGGGGAGGAGGAGGGGGAGGAGGGGGAGGAGGGGGGGAGGAGTAGGAGGACCACAACGTGCTTGCGACCGGCCCCCACCCAGGTGGGACCAAGGCCCCCTCAATTGGGGGCACTCCAGGGCGCCCCTCGGGGACCCGTCCCCAGGGCATCCCGAACCCTCACCACCACCACTGCCCCCGGCCCAAGAGCACCTCCCACCCCGGCCATCGCCGCCGACTGGCATACTAAGCCCCATACCTCGCATCAGCATGTACACCAGTACGCATTACTCATGACACACACACACACATACGCACAACACAACACAGCATAACACAACGCAACACAACACAGCACAACATAGCACAGCACAACACAGCACAGCACAACACAGCACAGCACAGGACAACACAACATATCACACACACACGCACACGCACACGCACGCGCACACGCACGCGCACGCGCACACGCACGCGCACACGCACACGCACACGCAATCGCACACGCGCAATCGCACACGCAGGCACACGCACACGCACGCACACCCACGCACACACACGCACCCACACGCACACGCGCCCATACGCACCCACACGCACACACACAACGCACACGCACACACAACACACAATTTACACAACACACAACACACACAACACACACAGCACACACAACACACAGTACATACACACAACACAACGCACACAACACACAACACACAACACAACACACAACACAGGACACACACAACACGCAACACACAACACACAGCACTCACGCACAACACAACACACGCAACACACAACGCACACAACACACAGCACACAACACAACACACAACACACAAGACACGGCACACACACAACACACACAGCACACAACACAACACACAACACACAACACACAACACACAACACACAACAAACAACACAACACACAACACACAACACACAACACGCACAACACAACACACACATCACGCATAACGCACACAACACACAACACACAACACACAACACATCACACACACCACACAACACACAAGA